ATTAAAATAAATTTTAAAATTACTTTTGTTTTAAAGTTAATTTAAATAATTGTAAAACAAAAAACTTTTGTTTGAGTGATTTGATTAAAATTATTATTATTTATTTATTTATTTATTTATTATTTACGAAATCAGTCTTTCTATTTATTTTTTAAATAGTTTTGTTTTTCATATTGATTTTTCGTTTGAAAAACAGTGTTGTGTATTATTTTTAAAATACGTGACACACTTTTGTTGATTTGGCATAAGAAAAATTAATTATTCAATAATTTTTGATGACATTATCTTCTTTCTATTATTATCTTTGATCGTCTTCTTCATCTTCTATCTATCTCAATTTATTCGCTCGTCTTTTTCGTTCTTTAGAAATACTTTCTCTCGCTCAAAAAATATGTCATGTATATAATATATACTCCTTCAATTCTCTTTTATAAGAAAATTTTGACTTTTTAGATTCATTAAATAAATGATGTGTTTAGACTATATATTAGTTAGATACATCAATTATTCAATGAACCTAAAAAGTTAAATTTTTCTTATAAATAAAAATGGAGGAGTATTATTTTAGCGTTTTTTAATAAAAAATAGACATGAAAGATCAAAATTATTTAAAAAATAAATAGAAAGACTGATTTGATAAGTTGACTAAAATAAAAAACAAAAACTATAATTTAACTTTAATTATATAACATTATTTAATTTTTTAACGCTATATCTACTAATCTAGCAATTATGCTCTTAGTTTTAAAACCTCATTTTAAATTTGTAATCAAAATAATTATGTTAAAATCTTATAATTTGTTTTTTAAACTCGTAAAATTTTAATAATTAATTACTTAACTAAAATTAACATTATACATAGTAGAGATAGCAAACAAACAACATCACTGTCTTTTTTAAATAATAAACTAATCTTTTTAAAAATGACATTCATTATATGTGACACAAAATTATTATATATGAATCTTGTAAATATATTTTAATAATTTTTATTTATTTTTTAACACTATTTTTAATCCCACAAATTAATTGATCAAATAAATTGTTGAGATGAGGAATATAAAATAAACAAAAATGATGCTAACAAGTATCATAATGATAATGTTTAAAAAATATAAATTAAAATTTCGTCAAACATATTTCAATGTAATAAATAAACAAAAATTTACTTAGAAATTACCATTTTCATTGTTTTAATTAAAAAGGATACCGATTTGTACAGTAGATTGAGTACAGAAATACTTTAATGTCTCATTTATTAAAAGAAAAAGCAGTACAATTTCCCCTGCCCCCAACCCAATCGCAAATACCCATGGTCTTCGTACTCCACAAGAAATCTCCATCTCTCATTTCACTTTCACATCACTACCTGCCAAAATTTCCCAATAACAATTAACCATTTTTTAATTACAAAACCTTCCCCAAATTCTCTATTGCCACAACCACTCACCACATTGGAGAGCTTTTCTATAACCCAAGTAATCCACAACTCGAGGGGCATCTACCCGATATTCCACGTAATTTCAAGGGCAATAAAGTAAATCCAAACCCAACGAAAACCCAATGCGTATATCGCACGATAGTAATCTTCAACACGCGTCAATAAACTAAATGCTCTGTGATTGCCTTTTGGAAACCAAAATCATAAACGCCTACGTGGCATTTATACTCCACGTCACCATCTCTTCATCTTCATTATAAATAACAATCCTTTCTCTTCTTTTCCTACCTAATCCAAAACGCTTAAAAAGAAAATGAAAAACGAAAATTAAAATCAAAACCAAAACAAAACCACACAACTCTTTGCCGGCCGGAGAAATGAACATTCCGGCATACCTATCTCCTTTTTCCATGAACAATGCGCCTATCTCCGATCATCGCCGCCATGTGTTTCATGAGATAGAGTAGAGTTTGTAGCTTTCACCAAGATTTTCAATTTTTTTCCAATTTTCGTTGTTGTTATAAAATTATGCCTCCGATGAAGATCCAACCGATCGACATCGATTCTGAGAAGCTGAATCAAATGACAAGCGGTGGTTCGCAACGACGCCGTTAAGCCTGTGTTGAAATCGCGGCTGAAAAAGTTCTTCGTCTTCGACCGGCAATTTGCAAACGTGTCAAAGACTTCTTCTAAACCTATTTCCGGCGAAGTTACACTATCCGCCGATAGGTTCAGTGAACATTTCGAGCCGAGCTCAGTTTGCTTAGCCAAAATGGTTCAGAGTTTCATTGAAGAGAGTAACGATAAGCAAACGCCGGTATCTAAATTTGCTCGCAATAGCTGCAATTGCTTTAACGGAAACAGTAACGATAGCTCCGATGAAGAACTTGATTTCTTCGGCGAATCTATTACTTCTGGTTCTATCAATGACGCCGGTGACGCGCTCAAGGTTACTTCAAGAACTCTAGTTTAGTTAACTTTATAGATTTACTTTATGTTTAATTTTTTTTCTTACATTTTTCTCATTTTCGTTTTTTTGTTGTTACAGAGTTTGATTCCATGTGCGAGTGTTGTGGAGAGAAATCTCTTAGCTGATACATCCAAAATAGTTGACAAAAACAGTAAAGTTTTCAAGCGAAAAAACGATTTGAGAAAGATCGTTGCAGAAAATCTTTCTTCTTTAGGTTATGATTCTTCCATATGCCATTCTAAATGGGACAAAACACTCTCTCACCCTGCCGGTACAATTTTATGCCTAAAATTTTTTATTATGTAACTGGAAATTATTTTTAATTTTAATTGTAAACGGAAAATTGAATGTAGTGGTTTTGATTTTTTGATTATTGATTCAGGTGAATATGAATACATTGATGTGATTGTGGAAGGTGAGAGGTTGATTATTGATATTGATTTTCGATCGGAGTTTGAGATTGCTAGATCGACGGGAACATTCAAGTTGATTCTCCAGTTTCTTCCTTACATTTTCGTTGGGAAACCGGATCGTCTCCGTCAGATCGTTGCGGCTGTATCGGAAGCGGCTAAGCAGAGTTTGAAAAAGAAAGGAATGCCCGTTCCGCCGTGGAGGAAGGCTGAGTATATGCTTGCTAAGTGGCTCTCCGCTTCCTGCACAAGGGCGAATCCGTCGCTAAACTCCTCTGTGCAAGACGTGAAGGAGGATCTCGGTGATAGTGTTGCATCGGAGAGTTTTTCCGGTGATGAGAAAAGCTTGTTTGCGGTGGTGACCCCAACTTGGCAATTACCGGCGGTGAAAGTAAAGAGTGTTGAGAGAGGTGCTAAGGTTGTGACTGGATTAGCCTCCCTGCTCAAAGAGAAATCATAAAGAAAATTTTGCACTTTTTTTGGGTAACGTTAATTAGAAAAGAAAAGTATAATCAAAATTAAACTGGCTTTTTTTCATCTTCAATTTTTACCCGATTTTTCTCTTTATTTTCGCCTTATGTTTTTACTAGTTTCCATGCCAGTCGTTGTGATAAAATAAAATAGCTGAGTTTAAGTAGGAAATGTTTGACAAAAATGGAAGTGGATAACACTACCTTCTACAAGATGTTTGTTTTAAGACATTAAATAATTCATGTCATATAAAAAATGGATTTTTTTTTATCAATAACCATATTTTGAAAGAGAAAAAAATACATAAATAATTATATTTTGAAGAAAATTACATAAATAACTATGTTTCAGAAAATATTATAATGTAGTAGTCATCTCAGATGACGTATGTATTGATTTTTTAAAGGAGACACCAAGTGAGACGCGTCTAGGTGTATATTATTTATCTTAAGTTATCTCATATGGCGTTTAGGTACAAAATTATTTTTTTGTTAAAGAAATAAAAGACAATGTTGTTGCAAATGAAAGTTGATTTTCAATAATAATTAAACGATTATATAATGAGAATAAAAATTACACATTATTTAGTTGTCTTCAAGGACTCGATAATGACCCGTAGTTCGGCAACCGCGTCCTCGCCTAACTTGTGGTGTGTTTTGACGTATTTCCTGTTGCGATTGAGTCTAGGGCTCTGCGAAGTTAATGTGTTTAGGATCCATGGGAACTGTCAGATCATTATATTTGGAAGATCTGCTTTCAAATAGTCGGTTATCGATGCTTTCAAAATTTGGTCGTATTGGTTAGGGGTAAGGTTTCATGGGGATCGATAGCACTGGTCGTCTGAATAAGGGGGATAAAAAGGAAATGAATCTTGTGGGATTTGGTACTGTGATTGTTGGGTGCTATGGTGATAGGATGACTGATGGTAAGTTGGGTTGGTGAATATTCTTCAGGTTGACCAATGTCTGGGCTAAGGTGAGATGACGAGAGGCCCATATCAAGATGTCAAATGTATGGTCGTTGTTCTTGGTACTGTGATTGTGTGTGGGGCATGTGTGTGTATTGGTATTGGTCTTGGGTTTGAATTTGGATGTTGGTGGATTTGTATCGCCGTTGTGTTTGGTGGGAGGTTGATGTGTGTTGGATTTGTTGTTGGGGTTATTGTTGTGCGGTGGATGATTGTGCCCATTGTGTGTGGGTCAATCAAATACCTCAGGTGAGACACGTGCATTTCAGGGTTAATAACCGATATATACCAATCAATATACTTATTTGTGTGTTGTATATTAATCTGGTTAAAAAAACATGGAATTATAAGACGTATTGGTGACACCTATGCCACATCTTACACCATTCTGGAGCGAAATCTTTCCAATTATTAACACCCCATTGGGTGTCGACCCTTTTGAGATGTCAATGTGACAAACAAGTTGGATCGTATGGTATATCTTGATACATTCTTGTTGTACCCCAAAATTTGCCCTCTCATTTTACTCAACACATGCCCATTGAGATCCTCAACTTGTTCAAGAATGCCCAAAAGTTGACCAGACAAACTCTCTCCTAAGGCAATGTACCTCAAACTAGGTTTTCCATTTTCATCAAGATGGGTGAACTCCAAAGACCTCATATGCTCTCCATGGTCCTAATATGTTCTCAAGACCCACCATGTCAAATTTCAAGTCTTGCACAAGAAGTTTGCTCGGTCAACTACTCAAATGCTTGAGAATTGACTATATTAGATCAAAAGTCAACTGTGGCTCACATACAGCCAAACTTCAAGATTTTTGGTCAACATCAACATTTTGAAGTGATATCCATAATTTGATCAAGGGTTGATCATGATTCCTCAAGGAATGCCCCAAATTCATCAAAATCCAAAAGTTGCTAAATTAGGGTTTCATAGGAAAAGTCAACCAAACTTTGACCAAGCATAACTTCTCCATACTTTATCATAAATTTTCCATCCAAGGCTCATTTTGAAGATGATGCAATTCCCCACAACTCATATTCAGCCCACAAGTTCAAAATACGCACTCATCAAAAGATGTGAATTTTTACATTATAGGTCCTTTTGAAAAGTCAACAAAAAACACTTTTTAGGTCAAAGCTTCTTACATGAACATGGAAGACCCAATTGAGATGAGACCAAAATGATTGTTTAGGGGACATCCTAAGCTTTCTAAAAAGTCCAAGAACACCTCTCTAGGGTTAAAATTGGAAGAGATATGCCTTGTCAAAGTTGACCATTTTTGCAAAATTGCCAAAAGTCAAATGTGCTCAAAGATGCATTTTTTGCCAAATGGGCCTAACTTTTTATGCTTGCACCTCACTCATAACATGGTCCACGACCCAAATATTCACCCACGCATTATTTGCTTCATTTTCCATTTTATTTTGATTTTTTATTAATTAAAAATTGAATTAAATCAAATAAATGACAAATAATAGAAAAGATTGGTCTTGATCTGATTTTTGGACAGGATCACAAGCTAATTATGTTGACATATCAGAATCAAATCGAATCAAGGTGGATTGGTACAAGAATGAAATGATTAGGCCTAATTTGGAAACAAATCATACAAGGAAGGAATGAGATCAAATCTTCAAAGTTTTCAAAGATACATGTAGTTTTTATAACCCTAATTCATTCAGGGTTATATATTGAGCAAGGCCAGGCACGAAAACAAGGGCTAGCAGTCGAGAAGAACACTAGAACAAACTCCATTTTTTGGAAAAAAGTGGTCATCTGATCTCTACCCTAGAGGATGATTCAAAGCTTTCAAACTCTCCTAATTGTATCCTGGAGCATCTCTGAAGCTAACAGGATCAGTAGCAAGCATTCTCGCGCCCAGAATCAACCCCTGAACCCCACACGGTTTGCTTGCTTTTTCAAAACCGGTTACGATAATTCTTGCATCATTAGCATAATTTAATGGCATATTTGTGATCATTGATGTATTTGTAATATGTCTGAATAATTTAATTGAGGTTTTGACACCTATATATGCATTTTCCATTGCTAGGGTTTTTGTGTTCGTTTTAGGACTTTTGTCCACAGGTAAAATTAGACCAAGAACAATCCACCATGATGTTCGTGGGTTCAAGACAAATGGAACCATGTAATTAGAATTTATTTATCATGCGTTTTCTTGATTGTTGAAGTTTACAGGATTTCAGCTATGGTAAATTGTCTGTGGGTATAAGTCTTACCCCTAAGACGATAGTCTCAACGAAGGAGACGGTGACTTGTCACCACCTCATTGGACCATCTGAATTTCGCGCGTGTTTTCCAGCTAATCACCATGTTTTATATATTATTCATTATTGTTGTTATATTAACAATTGAGTCACACAGCCCAAATGACAAAGTGCGTTGGTGGTGAGTGTGAGGACCTGGGTTCGATCCCAGGTCCCAGCATTTTCTTCATTTTATTTCTCCTTTACAAATTAGGTGCATCATCCTCTCAAACGCCTACCATGCGCCATCAACATCCAGCCATGGGATTCATCATCAATCCAATCCAACGCCCCACCTGCCAGAGACTATGGTACACCATCAGGAGGGAGCACCACTGGATCAAGCGTTGACTGGGCTTCAGCTTGGTGGGCCTAACAAATTCAGTAACCCACCCCCTGATTTCTTCAATACATGCCCTTTTCTCATCTTTTGATTTTAATTCTTTTTAATTATTTTTCTAACTATTTTCTTTTTTAAAATAACATCAAATTATTTCTTTTTATTATTAAATCATGAAATCACAAAAAAAAAACCAAAAATCATTTTTTCCATAAAATGTTTATTTATTTTTAATTAATTTAATTAAAAATTAGGATAATTTAACTCTTTTTTTTTGTAATTAAATCAATTAGAAATTAGGGTTTAATTTTGTATATAATTAGTTTTTCTTCAAAAAATAACTTAAATATTTTTCTCAAATAGATTTTTAGATTTTATATTTATCCTCGCATTTAATACGTCGTGCACATTTTAATTACTTTTTTGTTATTTTTGTAACTGCTCCGAGTTTGTAATAACTCTAATTAGGTTTTAATTCTGCCTTTTATTTTACAGTAAAAAATAATCATGTATCTGTGAAAGCTATGTAATAGTTAGAACTTTAAACTTTCCGCATTTTAATTTCTGCAATTATAAATTGTTAGATGTATGCTAATAGGATTGTATGGAAAGACTATCTGAAATTAATACGGTAGAAAACCCTAAATGTGCAAAGACAAATTAACTGAAAAAATTCACTCGCACATGCTCACTCCTAGGGTTTTCTCCACTCCGGTTGCCTTCAGTTAAATGGTCATGAAGTATAGGGTTTGTTAGCGGTCATCCTCTAGCCCCGAGAGATCTGAAAAATGACCCATTCATATGTTGCCTCGGAAAAGATCTTTAAGGCTTTATGAGGGTTACTAAAATTCCTTAACATTGCTTTTGTGACCGTACATGTCCCTTCGAATGTCCCTAAAAACTCCAACGACGGTGCTACCTATTTTTTAGTAATGGAATAGCATTGTCTAAAAAAGGAAAACGAACAGTCTTTTTCGAGTAGGTAGTTTAGCTCTTAAGTACTTGCTCAAACAAACAACCTTTTTCACACCAAACACTTTTCAAACAAAATTATCAAAAACAACTTCGTAACACTCTTGAGGACAGAAACAAGGGTTAAAACAAAGTAAACGAAACATTTCAAAACAAGCACACACACAAGAAATTTTAAAATGAGCAAGTACCTAGGAGCCCGTAGAAAACTACGGATAGAAAGGGTGCTAACACCTTCCCTTTCTATAATCTACCCTCCGTGCTCAGAACTATTCTCGAAAAAGGTTTTTTCTGTTCTTTTTCCTTTTCCTTAGTTGGATGAAATAAAATTCGGTGGCGACTCTTGCTTACCGCGACATTTTGCAAACAAAAAATGCAAACCAGTATTAACAGTCGGTTCTGCCACCGTATCACAGAACTGGCGACTCTGCTGGGGA